ACAAAACTCGCAAGTTTAGTTCCGTCGGCTATAAACTTAACACAATGGCCATGCCGCTGGACGAGGAAGGGGAGTAGGGGTGCAAGTATTACCCCATCATGTGAGCCCTGAGCGATGCAGATGGTCAGTGTAGTGTGGGTGTGAAATCTCATGACTGCCCGTGAGAGTGCTCGAGTAGCGAGCCACTACGGAAACTTTCCTGAGTAGCCAGAAGCCAGAGGTGTGAAATTAGATTGACCAATGACAGCCGAGAAAAGAGTTCCTCGAATCGTTGTTACAATGATGGCAGTGAGGGGTGGCACCTTTGGGTGGGGCTAAGGGTGGAAGCCAAGGAGATGTTCAAACGTTTCTGTTTTTAATAGGTCAGACAGTGGTCCTATGAAAAGCAAGCACTGGTGGTAATTGGACAAGTAAGACTGACGCATGTCATTATCAGACAGGATAGCAATTGAGAGGTGTGAAGTTTGGACCACTGCTTGCCGATCGGACAAGCGATCCTTGATCCCACCGGCTGGGCATTTGACCACCCCCCACCCCCCCCCCCCCCTAAATTCCCTTGTCTAAGACGGAAAATGTCTAAGATGGAATTTTTTTCCCGCTCCCTTGCGATTCCGTCTTACACAGGTTCGACGGGGCTCTCGTGGCCTAGAGGTTAAGGTGTTGGCCTCTCATTCAAAGGTCCCGGGTTCGATTCCGGGTAGCGACCAAAAAATTTTCTTCTCTAAAATTGTCTCCTTTCACATCCTTTCCTGATCTCTAACAATGTTCTGTTGTCTGCTTTCATTTCGCACTTTCTGCCCCCACCCCCTCACCTCCTTTGCCCCCTCCTCTGGGCTCCTGACTCTTTCTGCAGCCTTTCTACTGCTACTCCTTGGCTCCTCCTAACTGCTGTCTTTCTGCCACACCCCTGATCTTCTGGTAGGAAAGATCTACACCTAGCCTTCTCGGACAAGGGCGAAAAATCTCGGAGGGCCCGTGTGCAAGTTGCGCACGTTAAAGATCCCTTGGTGGTCTAAAATCGATAAGAGTAGGCTTCGGCCGCCACCCGGGCAAAATTCAAAATTTCCTACCATCGAAAAAGTATTAGGTGTGTCCCGCGCGCTCATATGACCTATGCAGTTGCGAGCGCCGTAAAACCCTATACTAAACAAACAAACAGGTTCGACTGTATTCATTAAAGTGTATTGCCCTTAGCTCAAAGTAGGTTCTCAGGCAGATTGTAATTTTTAGAAAAAGTTCTTTGGCATGTGAATTTTAGATGAAAAAAAAATTCAATGTCATTCATGGTAAAAACAGTTTCTGAGGAAGACCAGGTTCTTAAGCAGCATATTCCTGAAGGGGAGACCAGGGTAGTTGAAATTGACATGTGGATTTGATTTTGTAACGTCATTGAATATTAACATTCTAACCTTTTTTTTGTCCATATTTGTTCGTAAACTTCAAAACGTTCTCCTTTCAGTTGAGCAACCTCAGTCCCTGTTTAACCATTTCCTTATGCAAATGGGGAAAAAACTCAACTCTGTGTCAACGTCTCTGTCCAAAGAGAAAATTCTAGAAACTGAAACAGCTGATGAGAATTCTGCCATTGTTGTAAGTTCATTAGAGTGTGTTCTCATTATTGTTTAAGATGACGTGTGTTTTTGTCCTTGTGAATACTATAAGGGAATTTTTTGTACATTGTATTTAAGTACTAAGCTTTTTTAAAAATATGTTTGGCTTTGTTTTTCTGTCAACATAAAGTAAATGGTCTTGTGTGACAGTGAATGTTTGGGTTTAGCAGCCTTTTCAACTCTGTCAGGTTATTTTTTTATAAACATTTTTGTTTTAATGTTGGTGTCTTTATTCCCCGTATTAAAAAAATCTAGCTTTAGATTATTTAGGAGAGGGGCTTTGAATCTGCCTGTCTAGGCCAGCCCGGACTAAGAAGGATACAATGTCTTGGCAGAAAGGCCGAGATACTTGAAAAAAAATTCTTGCCACTTGGGAATTGAACTACGGTTTTTTGCATGTGTCAGCGAAGTGCCTAACAGTGGCACCTCGGGCAAAGGTATTAGGTGATATAATGTGAAGCAAGGCCTCTAAATTCAACATCCGTCTCTGATAAGACCACTTATATGACAAGGTTTGGAAAAATGATGGCCTCTTTGTTACGGTGTCCAAGAGGAAATGTTTCTAGCTATTTTGTACGGAATCGTTCGTCTCTTAATTTTTTTTTTTTTAATGGTTTCAACTTCTTCTTATTTTTATCTGTCTCTCGTATCTTATCTACCCACATATAGCATGGCCTCATGTACAATATGAGAGGGTATAAATTGACTCCAGAATTGGCTCATTGTTATAGTTCACTTATGATATACTTTCATGGGAAGTGAACTGAAACCCGCTTCTCATTCTAACAAGGTAGAATTGTTCTTTGTATGGGAACGGAATTGAAGCCTAGTACTCCCTCCAATCTGCTGGAATGTCTGTTTGAATGAATGCAGAAAAAGAAAAGTATGAAGAACTTTCTGATTTCTTCTCTCTCTCTGTCTGTCTGATGTTTCCCCAGGTGTCGTCTAAGACCCCGAATCTAGTGAGTAAACAACTTCTGCAGAAGGGCGAGAAGGACACATTGCTGCACCTGAACTTCTCCGCACTGTTCTCTCAGGAAGGCAGAGGGAACAAGGGTGGTCCACATGTAGAAGACAAGTGAGCACTGGGTCATAGTTATGATATCCTTGTGACGCTTACATGACGATATTGTGTCAATGGTGCTGTGAAACATGTACTTAGTGGGTGGTTGGCGGGTGCTCTGGTGTACTTTGCTCCTTCTTTCCTATCGAACATCTATCATCCTGATCTCTCCTCTTTCTTTTTTATGTTTGTTACTCTCTTGTAACACCTCTAATCTTCGGCACTTGTATGGCCTTATTGTGTTGCAAGTGCCGTAAAACTCGTACCTAAACTAAAACATGTACTTACACTCAAAATTGCAATGCTCTCTTTGGTGTACTGAAGAAATTGTTTCAATGCTTTTATACGTGTGTACCTGAACTGAGTGAGACAGAACTGTGAAGTATCTTTGGATGGCATTAATTTTAAATCCGGAGCATGGAAAATTTGAACCAACTGCCTGCAAGTTTGGCTGCTTGACCACTCCGCTATTAACAAGTCTCTGAGACAGTGTTCAAGGCTCCATGCCATGTGAGTGTTGAAGATTTGTTTCCCAACTTTCTGCTCCATATTGCAGGGTTGAACGTGATTGTTTTTAAAACTGTAAGATCTCTGGTTTATTCTAGAGGCCATAAAGATGGTTTATTCTAGAGGCTATAAAGATTGTAAGCTTCAGTCTTGGTTTTGTAGTAACTTTATGTCGTAAGGAAAAGAGTCATGGGGAAAAACTGGCAAAATCCAAAATGGAAATCACAAAAAAAGAAATTTTAAAAACCTGTGACCTTGAAACTTCATTCCTTTTTGACTGTAGCTTAATTATTTTTGTTTGATTTTCCATTCCACTAACTATAATAAAAAGCGAACTGTCAAACAGAAATAAATTTGTGAGCCTACAGTCTTTTGTTGTTAGCGATCCAGAGCCTACAGTCTTTTAAAATTGATATGTTCAGAGTGTCCATATTGTGGCAATTCCCATTTTCCCAGAAGAGATACTCTTTATTAAAAAGCACATAAAGCTTACTTTCTATTTGGGACATGGGGTGTGTCACATGCAATCTATTGTTGTTGTTATTATCATCCTCTTTCTTCTTTTTGTTCTGCTGCTACATCTATGGGGTTGTTTGCTGCTTGTTCTTCAACCTACTGTGCAACTGGTCGTTACACATGATAGATTTTTCGACATCGTAGGGCCCCCTGTCTTTAAGCTTAGGGCAACCACATAATGATTTTGAAGGTACTCTGTATTTTCTAGAATTCTGACTAGGGTATTTTCAGTTTTGATAGGAATCTATTTTGATTTTTGCTTGGATGATGGTGGAAGGCTACTCTTATCGCAGGAATGTGGCTGAAAGACATTAGTAAGAAAGAGCCAAGAGAAACTGGGGAAAGAATCACTTAATCAGAAGTAGTAAGGAAGTAAGGTGTTAGTATTATATGCAATCTCTTGTTGTTATTATAATGTTATTTTTTATCATTACTATAATTTATTGTTATTCTTATTATGTCTGTCCCCCTCCAGTGTGGCAGCTAGTGACTCAACCCCCATCAAGAGCCAAGTTTTACGTATGTGTGAGGAGAGCCTGGGCCCGTACGTGGCCTCCCGCTACAGCAGGGTTTGCTCGCGTCTGCTGCACATCCTCAAGTCAGAGTACAACCTGGTCCAATGTATCCATGCCATGCAGGTGAGCGGGTTCATTTGAGTTTTCAATATTGACGGTTTAAAAAATGCTCGTGGACATAATAGCGTTCGTTTCGTTATTTGAAAAAGTAAGACAGGTAGGCAGAAAAAACAGAGGCCTAAAAGATGTAGAATTTACCAGTAACACGCCCCAATCACTTGTATGTTGTCGGTGCCATGCTCAGTAATATCACATTTGTGTATATCAGGAATTAACATTGTATTTCCCCTTGAGAAAGTACAGTCAAGCCTGCTCCAGTGGCCTCCCGTGCAAGATAAGATATGATGAGATACATCCTTATTGTCCAAATCCTGGCACATTGGTTTGGTGTTTCACCACGTACACACACATACACACACTCACAAATACACACCCACGCGCGCGCCCAAACACGCACAATCACCCATACAAACAGCTACCTCTCTTTTTCATTTTTAAAAACATATTAATGACTACGTGTAAAATGTCCACATATCTATGACGGCCGCTTTTCTTCTGACAATGGATGACCATCTTAGACAATATGTGAGGACCAAGTCATGGTGAAATCAGGCACTCGTCAAAATAATTAAATCAAAGAAATTGGCATTTTCTGACCGTTGGGCAATTTTGTTCTTATTTGTCTTTTTATTTTGCTCAATGCCTTTTATGTACATTTAAAAGCACATTTTTCTGTTGATTTTTACTGAAAAACCTTTATTAAAAGCACATAGAATGTCAAGTTTTCAATTTTCAAGGACTCTCAAGCTATGGATATTAGCAAACTTTGGTGGACATTTTCTCGCTAATTTCACCTCTGAAACCAGGTGACCCTGACCTCCTTCAATCACAAATATTTCGACTTCTATTCAACGTAGATGAATATTTTTTTCACCAAAAGCAAGGCAAATGAACTGGCTTTGATATGATAACAATAACCCCATAATGCCCAAAAATTGAGGAGCACCTGTTTCCACCATATCGTGACACATTTCGACTGTGCGTAAGTTGTATCCATTGCCAGACGTGTTTTTATTTCCTTCATTTCAGAGATATTTCCTGATGTCCTCAGGGGAGGTTATGTATGACTTCTACAGATCTGTCTTCCTCAAGGTAAGAAGAACTTGTGTGCTCCCTAACACATAAGGATGCTTTGAATGTACTTCTTCTTCTTCACGTTTCAGGTCTGAAGCAGACATTGACAGTCTTTGTACCCCATTCCTTTCTGATTTTTATTTGTTTGTTTCGTGTTCTGATTTTGGTGCAGCTATTTGTAAACTACATAAAAATGTGTGGGCGCTGTGAAAATTGCTAAGCTTCAAGAAAAACAAAACAATAAAAAAGGGTAATTGTTTAGTCTATGATAATGATGATGTCCCCATTCCTTTCTGTTATTTGTTCTGATCAGCTCAGTTTTTCTGATTGTATGTGTGTGTTTGTGTTTGTTTACTCTATGTGTGGGTGCTGTTACAGGGCTGCCAACCATCCAGATTTTTTTGTAATCATTACGATATTTTAGCCTCACTACAAAATTCCGATCGTAAGGCGATTTATTACGATTTTTACCGTCAGCAGATTTTTGGCTATAAAAAAAATATTTGTAGCTGTTTTTTTCTTTTTACAAGTCTTAGACTTAGTGCTGACCTGTAAAGCAAAACTTTGACCTTCACTTTTATTTAATTTTCGATAAGCCCTCTTTTTCCATAATTAAGACATGTTTTTGTTCGTTGTAATGTAGTAATTTGAAAATGAGAGCACTATTACTAATTTTTATGGGAAATTACTAATTTTCTTCATGGTCATTACTAAAAACCATGGAGATGGGTTGGCAGTGAGCCCTGCTGTTGATCTGTCTGTGT